GGAGTAGTGACTGCTTGCCTCTGAGACTAAGATGTCTGAGTTCTGAGAACCATGCACAAAGATGGAGGGTGCTGGGTCTTGGCTCCTTCAAAGATCCTGGAGAGAAAAATCTTACAGCCATGTTTAGAATGTTGGATTTGCACTGTTCCCATTCAGGTTGGATATACTGGGTCTTCAGGGAAAGAAGAATGCTCACCTCAAATAAACAAACATTCAAAGATCAGACCAAACCCTAAGGGAAAAGTGACAGCTTGAATTCAGAGGGTCCTGCCTGTACAAAGGCTGGGAGAAGGGACTCCCCTTGGTTTCTTGTAATCAACACACATGTGCACATGCATGTACACACACACAAACACGTGTATGGGCTCCTTTTTGCAAACCAAATGTTACAGGATAGCAGAGTGGTACAGGGTTGGGAACCGAAGTTCTTCATACACAAAGTTCCTGCAACAGTCTTACTGTTGCTATTATTATTACTGTGATGAAACATTGTTGCCAAAAGGAAGGTGTGGAGGAAACAATTTATTTGTGTTACACTTCCACATCATAATCCATCACTGAGGGAAGTCAAGGCAGAGACTCAAACAGGGAAAGAACCTGGAGGTAGGAGCTGATGCAGAGGCCACAGAGGGGTACTGCCTACTGGCTTGCTCATCAGGGCTTGCTCATCCTGCTTCCTTACAGAATCAAGTACCACCAGCCCAATGGTGGCACCTCCCACAAAGGACTGGGTCCTCCTATATCACTCACTAATTAAGAGCATGACCTACAGGCTTGTCTATAGCTTGACGTATGGGGCATTCTCTCAGTTGAGGTTCCTTCCTTTCAGATAACTGTAGCTTGTGCTAAGTTGATATAAAACCAGTTAGCACACCAGGGAAACTGAAACATGGAGACACAGTCCTGACTGCAAGCCCTCAGTCGTCCTAACATTAATCACTGTTCAATAAATCTGTGTCGACTTAGTGACATGCTGATTACTTTGCCCAGTCCTCTATGCTTTCCTACAAATACCTTTTGAAGAGATCAACCTAGGCTTAAACCTCAGAAAGGCTCTTCAGTGGTCTATGATTTTAATATGTAGTACTTAAAAGGGTTTTATTCTGTGATCTAAATTGCAAGGCTCAAAGTGGGGCAGTTAAAGGAAGATGAAAAGAAGTCATAATTTGCATCCAAGACAGGGATGTTCTTTGTTGTCCTGTACCCACATCAGCTTCCAAGTTCTCATTAACTAGAGGTGGGTATCCATCACCATAGCAACAACCAAGGTACTCAGGCTACTCCACCCTAGATATAACTGCTGCCTGCTTGGTTGGGTGTCAGATTCCAGAGAGCTGGTGGGAGACATAGCGGTCACAATGGGCCCAGCATTGCTCTTAAGAGCAATTATCTATTGAGATAAGTCATGGCACTTATCTCCAGAACTCTGATTCCTTAGGAAAGAGGAGTTTGGGTCACTGTCCTGAAAGGCTGTGCTGTTCACAGGCAGACATAATATAACAACAGATGAAAATGACAAGCTCTCTCCTTTAGGGCTATGTTCCAGGGTCTGAGCTATGAACCCTGGGTACCGAGTGAGTGAATGCCACCAGACTAACCCCGAGCTTTTGAAATGAACAGATGGCAGAGCTGTTCTTGGAACCAGCTGCTTGGGAGTTTCACGAGAGTAACTGAAGCCAGGACCTCACATCAGAACACACATGACCCTCCAGAAGCAGACAAGAACCAAGGGAGACAGCTTAGGTTGCTGGCATGCTGTATCTGCACTCAGATGGAGAGATGAGAGGAACGTGGAGTCAGGAGGCTTTGTGGGGGTGCTGTGGGTGGAGTCTAGAACGCGGGATATGAATGAGGGATGCAGGAGGCTGTGTATCCTCCTCCGGTGCCACGAAGGCTGAATAGGGTGCATTGGTTCCAGCGTATAGGCTTGAAGCATCCAATATAAGGCTGAGGGGAAACGGCAGGCAAACAAAGCTGATGTTAGAGAACCACATAAGTGGGGAGCAAGTGTGTCGGGGTGCTACGGCGCCTCGCCTCACCTTGCTTATCCGAGCTGCCGAGGTTGTGGAGATCGAGGCCTTGGAGAGTTCTGGTAGCCTTTACTAAATTCGGGCTCATATCTTGCAATCTCTCCCTTTTCTTCCCCACCAGAACAGTGAAGAAGTGCTGCCTGATCCACTGGGGTCACTGGGGTGCCATGCTTTTGAAGGGTACATATCCCACAAGCCGAAAGGAGAGTTCTTTTCGAACAGTTATTACAAGCTGGGCCAACTGAGAACTTAAAGTCAGGACTACATGTCTTTCAAGTCTGTGTGATGTGCTGGCTGGGACAGCGGAAAGAGGTTGAGAGAGCCTCTTTTCCTTCAGTCGACTGTAAGATTTGAGGTCGAGGCCACTCAGAGGCCAGGAAGCTGCTCTTCTCCCACCTGAAGCTTTTTCAGGCGCCTGAAGTAGCCAAGAGGCAGCAAAAGGCGAACGCGCCACCTGCTGGCCTTGGAGCGCGAGGTCGACACGGTCTGGCGCGTCCCCTGGTGGCCACTTGAGGATTCGCATTCTGCTCCTGATTTGGCCTCGCCAAGGTCTGACAAGAAGATCCCATGAGACCAGCCTTGATAAAGCCAGCTCTGCAGTCTCTAGGATTCCCCTAGAACTGGATCTTTAGAGTTGTCGCCATTTGTTTCCTCACCCTACCTCACTGGCTGTGCCATTTACACCAACCTCTGAACTCACCCGAAATTAATCCTTTAGTTAAACAGTGTCAGGCTGCCGGACAGCTGGGCAGGGTGATGTCACAGCCTCTGGACTAGTGTGGCACTCACGCCAGTGGTCCTGGTACAGGGGAAGTCGAGCAAGAGACACAGCAAGTGCTCCTCCACTCCAGGGCCCAGGAACTTATGGGTAAGTTGAGATCCCTCACGGCTCCTACAGAGCAGTGCGAGAGAGACCCACTGAGCTCTGTATGTGGCAGACAGTGCAAAGGACACTGTGGTTTTACTCAGGTGGCTCCACATTTAGACAGAGAACAGAAGACTAGAACCTCATTATATTTTGGTGACAGGACGCAGTGGGAACATGCAGGGGACAAGAACAAACACTTCTGGTAATCTGGGCACTCCGAGGAAACTACATGGATCTGAGCCTAGAGAACAAGTCTTTATCCAAACCATGGGAAAGGGACATTTGAAGCTCTGGGAGAGCAAACGGTCTGATCCTCAACCCTGTCTGTGAATTGCACCACCCATCAGAGATGTTTGAAAATGCCACCGCCAAGACCAGTGGCCCCTGAGGCTTGAGTGCTAAGAACTGAATGTGTCACACAGAGTCATGTTTTGAAACTAACTTCCAGTGGAGATGAGGCTGCTCTGGTTAGATGACATCAGGAGGGCAGAGCACTCAGGATGGAATCAACGCCCTTATGAGAAGAGGAAGCCACACGAGATCTCTGCGAGTCCATCAGCCAAGAGAGGGCATCCCTTCAAGAACTCTACCATTCTGTTTGTAGACTTCATGCTCCAGACCTACAAGAAATGAATTTGTGATTGGGTCACTCGGAAGGCTGCTGTGGTGTGCAGATGAACTGTCCCCCCACAGATTCGTGTGTCGAAGGCTGGACATCCAGCTGATAGCTTTGTGCAGAGGTGACTGGATCCTAGCTGGACCTCCAGCTGATAGCTCTGTGCAGAGGCGATTGGATCCTAAGGCTCTGACTTCATCAATCAACCCATTGATGGGCTCATAGGTGAGTGTGCTAGTAGGTGATAAGTCCTGGTGGGAGGAAGTGAGTCTGGGAGGGGAGGGGCATGCCCTTGAAAGGTATATCTTGTCCCTGACTACTCCTTTTCCTTCTCTTTCTCCTCCTCTTCTTTCTCCTCTTCCTCCTTCTCCTCCTCCTCCTCTTCTTCCCTTTCTTCCTCTTCCTCCTCCTCCTCTTCCTCTTCCTCTTCCTCTTCTTCTTCTTCTTCTTCTTCTTCTTCTTCTTCTTCTTCTTCTTCCTCTTCTTCTCCTCTTCCTCCCCTGTCCACCTCTTCCTTTCTGTCACATTATTCTGCTTCATCACAATTCCAAAAGCATGCAGCCAAGAGACCACTCACTGGACCCTCTGAAACCATGACCCCAAGCAAACCTTTCCACCTTTACGTTTTCTTAGGTATCTGTCATGGCAACATAAAATATACACACATAGTCTAGACCGATCAGACAGATAGTAGAGGCCAAGGGGCAAAAGAAAGTGCTTGAAGCAAGGAGTGGAGCCGTTGAGGAAAGGCTTGGCATCATGAATTCATATGCTTGAACCTGGAGAGTCTATTTTCTGGAATACACATGTAGAAATACATTGCTGCCTGTGGGCTACATGACACAAGGGTGGGAAGTGAGGGGCAGGAAGACACACAGATCCATGTCCTCAGAACCATGAAAAGTTTTGTTGCTAGCAGAATGGATAAGTGAAGGAGCAAGGCAATTCATCTATTTAATTTACGTGATGTGCATCTCTGACAGCCTCCATGTCTGTCTTTGTTCCGAGAAGAACATGGCAGGGCTGGGGGTGTAGCTCAGTAGACAAGGTGCTTGCCTAGCTCACGTGAAGCCCTGGGTTTGGTCCTCAGTGTGGAGTGAGCTAGGTGTAGCAGACTCCTATGATCCCAGCACTTTAGGAGGTAGAGGCAGAAGGGTTAAAAGTTCAGGATCATCCTAGACTATGTGCCGTATCTGAAGCTGCCGTGGACTAGACGGGACCTTGTCTCAGAAATAACAGACGGCCAATCAGATGTCTCAGTGGTCAAAAGAGGTGGCCACCAAGCTTGACAGATTGCATTTGGTCCCCAAAACCCACATGATAGAAGGAGATGAAGAACTCCACAGATTATCTGCTGCTACCTGTCCCCCACCCCATACACACCTTGGCACATGTGCACATGCACACAGACAGACAGACAGACAGACAGACAGAGCTGATAGACAACCAAAAGAGAAAGGTGGAAGTTACTGAGGAGTTCATACTCCCTCTCATGATCTCACTGATGCTCTGAGGATTCACCTGGTTCAGGTTTCCTTGTGCAAATCTGGATAAACAGTCAGTGTTTGGTGGGTATCTGTAGAACTTCTAGGTACCCTCCAGCCCCATGGACAGCTCCATCGAGAGCCCCTTGGAGGGGGCAGTCGTCAATGAATTTGGGTTTGCAGGGCTTTCCCATACCTTCCCAGTACTAACAAAGCCTGGGAAATGTCAGTTGGCAAAACCAGAAGCACTGGCCTGAAATTTCACCTTGCTGCCTTTTGTCTTTGCAGTGGCTCTTGCTCACACCTTATTGATTCTATTGCCTGAGGTAGATCTTCAAGGATCAAAGGAATTTAGAATTTAATCCTTGCAGGGAAGAGGGAGAGGGATCCAGAAGGAGAAACTGAAGACTCTTCTGAGAAATTGCCTTTGGCAACAGCTAGCAGTGAGCCCCTAAGTCCCAGGTACTTTCTTTTCAAACTACCACCTCACAGCATTTCTCAGTGGCTCCCCTCTGTAACACCAGTCACCACTTACCCAGGAACTAATTTTGCTAATTGCAGGACTCAGGTTTCTGAGCTTGCAAGCATCTCGTGGAAACAAGATGCAGCCATGAGGAATTTTCAATAACCTTCAAATAATGGAAACAGGACATATATCCTTCCCCAACCTTGCCAGCCAGGTTTCCATGTCACCTGTCACTGTCCTCTCCTTGGCTCTCAAAGCTGTTTGGAGACAGATGTGAGTTAGGGTACGTTCTATAGGCGGGGACCCCAGAGAGCCTGATGGGGGGGGTGGATAATAAGGACCAGAGGCTAGGGAGGCCATTTCAGAGTGTGCTAATGATCACCTCAAGCTGGCTGGGAAGAAGGGAGGATATACATCATAGCCCAGAGCTAATGCATAGGAAAGGCAAGGCAGCCAGTGCCATCTGTCCACCCATTGTCACGGATGAAGGCTGCTCCCTCTTTGTCATTTCTAGCTGGTCCAGCATAGGCTCATACCTCACTGGCCAAAGACAGTCCACAGAGGGAGTAAGTTGCCAAGACACAGGTGGTTTATCTACTCCATATCATCCACTCAGGGGCAGCTCTCAAGTGTCTCCACCCAGGGGGGACCAATCCATCCCTGATGTGACAACAGTGTCACCGTCGAATTCACACAGGTGGCACCATCCAAGGGCTAAGCAGTGAGACAGGTGCTCTACTAGAATCCGACCATGAAGACTTCTCTCAGGTGACAACTCCGATTAGTGATGTCAGCAGCCAGGCTGGGGCAGGTGTCAAGTGCATCCATGCAGTTATTCGGGGAAATGGGTTACCTAGATTCACTTCGACTCATCAAGGGAGGTTGGCACCACTTGGGAAGATTTTAACTCCCCTCAAAGTACAAATGCCAATGACAAAGGTCTTTTTGTTTTTCTTCCTGTCACAAAAAGAGCAGTGACATCATCGTTTCTTTCATGTTTTTAAAATGGTGCCTTTCAGGCAGACAGGAACACTGATTGGACTGGGAACAATGAAGATGACCTTCCCTTGTCGTTCATAACAGTGTGGCCAGGTTTCTGAGGGACCTCGACACTGCACTTGTTCCTCATGTAGGTTGTTTCCCAAGCCTCAATAGCTCGGATGGCAGGTTACCACGGCCCAGGTTCTAACCCTGTACAAAAACATGGTGGGGAAGGTCTGCGGGGCTCTCGTCTGTCCGACAGTCCGTCTGTCCGTCACAGAGATGCCAGAGCCCTCACCTTTTAGCAAGGTTGCGAAACTTCCCTTTGGCAAACAAACAGCATGAGGGTTTTGTAGGTGTGCAGGAGCCGGTTCTGCATCAGTTTGAAGGCGATGAACAGGATCTCCATCCCCACAATGATGTAGATGGAGAAGAAGAGGAAGAAATGAGGGTGCACCAGCGTGATGTCTCCGAACCCTATGGTGGTCAGTGTCACAAAGCAGAAGTAGAAAGCATCCTCGAAGCCTAGTTCAGTCTCCCAGAAGGGGAGAATAGCGGCGGCACAGGAGATGTACGCAAAGATGACCAGGGCGATGACGGGAAGAGGGATGTCCAGCCTCTCTACCTGCTGGCCCACTTCATCCAGATTGCTGAGAATAGAACAGGACAGTCGCCCCAGCACTAGCTCAGGACACGAGTTGCTCCTCTCCACGGGCCGCGTGGGTGGTTGTAGCTTGTTCTGTTTCTCTCGGGCAACTAATCTCTCAAACAGCTCTACATTGCAGCTCGGAGACACGGGCTCCCGGCTGGGCTGCGGGTCCAGGAGCTCCTCGCCATCAATGACAATCTGAGGGATGATTTTGTCAGCGGGTTTACTGTCAGGCTGCTTCCGGCAGAGCGAGAGGGAGCACCACTTGGAGATATCATGGGGGAGGCAAAGGAGAGCCTGGAACCGACTGTAAGCTCTGGATAAGATGGTGGCCAGGATGTCCCCTATGTCTGTGAGGACCAGGAACATTAGAGGGATTCCAAAGAGTGCATACAGCATGCACAGGAACTTACCGAGCCTGGTGACAGGATACATGTGGCCATAACCTGAGAAACAAAGACAGCCTGCTGTTGGTATCAATCTCCCATCATGCACCAGAGGCTCAAAAGAGACCTGCTGTTTCTTCTCCTTAGCATGAAACTTTACACAGCAAAAATATTCATCCTGGGTGAGGTGCAAAACACACGGGGAACGTTTGTGCTGAGCAAGCAGAAGGCTGCAAGTGTAACCTCCCAGTGCTGAGAAAAAACGTATACATGTAAATAGATATTTATCTCAAGGCATCCACCGTGTGTGTGTGGCAGGAGTTTTGACAGAGAGGCAGATAAGAAAGAAGAGAGACAGCTCATATCTAGACTGAAAGTGTCTTTGGCAGGGGACATGCTGAGGACCAAACAATTGTCCCCCATGTTACTGCGGCTATTTTGGTGTGTTCCCATGAGGCTGGGCTCCGCTCACCTGGAAGAGCACAGATGTGAAGTAGTTCTCACTGCATTTTCCATCCTCCCAAAGCATCCTCCCTTTGCCCTTTTTCTGGGGTGTCTGGACCTCTTGGTATATTTGCTTTTATATAACAAGCATTTATTACGTGCTAAGTGGTGTGGGCAGCAGAGTGTATTGCATTAAGGAACAATAGAAAGAAACCAAAATAGAAAGAAACAAAGTTACAACTTCACAGAGCTGTGAAGATTCAGATGAGGGACAGGGAGGTTGTTAGCATGAGTGCTCACACGGAATCATCTTGGTTCACAGCCCAGATCTGAACTTCACAGACCTCTTTCTGACTGCTCACATGTTTTGCACTTCAGCTCGGAGAAGGGATAGTCCTTCTTTTAAGCGACTAGCTGGGAAGATCCTCCCAGGCTGGAACCTGTGACACTGTTGGCTAGTGTATGTGATGCCCTGAGAGCTAACATCCACTTAGTGAGCACCTGCTGGCCAGCTTTCCTGGAGAGGCTTTCTCATCATTTACAAGTGGGGAAACCGAGGCAAGGGGCAATGAAGTAGCTTGGCTCAGTGCATATGTGTGATAGATAGTGTAGTTCGAAACTCTAGTCTACAAGGGTCTTCAGACCTCAGCTATGCTGGGAGTCTCAGGACAGAAATCTCATCCAGGAAGACCTGGCTGGCCAGGGCCCACCAGGGCCTGTTTTTCTGACACTCCTACAACACTCTCTCTTCTGCAGGAGATGGGAGCCACAGAGCAGGGCCAGCAGCCCCTCAGAATAGGCAACTGGAGCTTCTATAGATATTGAGAGTCAGAGGAAAAAGCTTTGCGGGTACTTGTGTTTAATCTTTGATTAATACAGAAAAATACATCAACTATGTAAATTAAATTAAAGGTGATTCTTAGCAGGCTGTCTCCTACCTGCTTTGGCCTCCCAAGTGCAGACTGTGAGATGCCCACCTTAACAGGGTCCTAGGGAGGAAGGGAGGGCAGGGAGCTGTGGTCCTCAAAAGTTCTCATTAAACCTCTTTCATCTGTCTGTGAGCACTGCACACACCCCCAGACTGGGGACTGGGAAGGGGCTATGTGGTAGAAGGGTTAGTTAACTCATGAGTTCACTCATCCAGTGAGTAGTTACTGAGTGCTTAGTGGACTCACTGAGGACATGTGAGCATTTACAGGATCTGATCTCGCTGAGCCTCTGGTTCAGGGGAAGCCAATGTCAATCAAATGCCCACTGTTTCCGTTTGAGATGAGGCCCAGTTGCAGAAGGAATAGAGCAACTATTATAAATGTGATTAAGACAAAGGCTTCTGGGCTGGAGAGATGTCTGAGCAGTTAAGAGCACTGACTGCTCTTCCAGAGGTCCTGACTTCAATTCCCAGCAACCCCATGGTGGCTCACAACCATCTACAATGGGGATCTGATGCCTTCTTCTGGTGTGTCTGAAGACAGTGGCAGTGTACTCATGTGCATGAAATAAATAAATAAATAAATAAATAAATAAATAAATCTTAAAAAAAAAACAAAAAGCAAAACAACAACAACAACAACAACAAAAACTAAAGGCTTCCATCTGCGGTTTAGGCGCAGGGAAGATTTCTTGGCGAGGTGACCCGAACAGAGATGGAAAGGGGAGCTGTCCTTATTTACTTTTGTTGCTGAGATTAAACACTGACCAAAACCACCACGGGGGGAGGAAAGGGTTTGTGTGGTTTGCAGGTTACAGCCCACTGTTGAGAGAAGCCAGAGCAGGAATTTGAGGCTGGAACCTAGAGGCAGAAACTGAAACAGAGATCACGGGGACCCTTCTTACTTCCCTGCCCACATTCAGCACCTTTCTTACACAGGCCAGGCCCAGCTTTCTAAGGATGGTACCACCCATAGTGGGCTGGGCCCTCAATGAGCAGTCAAGAAAAGGACCCCATAATTGTAGAGAGAATATCTTGTGTACTGTAAGGATGCATCACCTGTCAATTAAAAAGCCTATGGCCTATAGCTAAAGCAGGAAATGGGAGGTGGGACATCTGGGAGGTAGAAAGAATTCTGGGATAGAGCCAGGCTCTATGGGAGGATGGGAGGAGATAGTCACATGGTACCTGAGAACAGGTAACCATCCGCATGACAGAATGTGGCTTTAGTTGTGATTTAATCAAAGTAGAGCCTAGCTATATGGCCAAGGTATTTGTAAATATATTTTGAGTCTGAGTCTTATTTCTGGGAGCACTGGGGGCTGGGAGGAAGAACCAGGCCATAACTTCCATACATAATTATGCCCTCATGTTAATCATCTGATGCAGGTAATTCCACAATTGAGGCGTCCTCTTCCCAGGTGCGTCAAGTTGACAATCAAGGTTAGGTAGCTCAGGGATCAGAAACTGGCCATGTGCAATGCTTCCCTGGCAGACTCAGACAGCTGAGTAGTTTGTACACTGCACATATATCGAAGGTGTTACAGGGAGCCTGAAATCCAGCCTGCTGTGCACTCACGAAGCTACGAGCTCAGGACTCTCCCTAGAGAGGATTCTAAACTTTAACCAAAGGTCTCCAGAGTAAAGCTGTCATTATATATAAGGAAATCAAAAACAAGTCGGTGTAGTGATTGAATAAGGATGGCCCTCTTAGGCTCATTATTTAATGCTTGCTCACCAGGGAATGGAGCTTTTTGATAGGATTAGAAGGTAGGTGTGGCCTGTTGAAGGGGTGTGTCACTAGGGATGGGGCTTTTAGGTTTCAAAAGCCCAAGTCAGACCCAGACAGTCTCTCCCTCTCCCTCTCCCTCTCCCTCTCTCCCTCTCCCTCTCTCCCTCTCTCCCTCTCTCCCTCTCTCCCTCTCTCCCTCTCTCCCTCTCTCCCTCTCTCCCTCTCTC